GAACCAGAGTATGTATAGCTGCAATTATAACTGAAATCCTTCTTAACTATAATAAAAAAGAACTTATTTCTATAATCTTTATTATTTAAACATATCTCACGCAAATATATTTTTATTATTATGAAGTTCTTGTCCACATTTTGAGAGGATTTACTTTAAATTGCTTTTCCCCTAGTATTAATTATCCCCTGAAGGCAGGTACATTTGTACCAAATTGTGGAATCTATGCAGAGAGACCGAGCAGCCCCATGAAAACTTTGGTGCTATCTGCTGAACTAGCAATGGTTGTGGTTGTTGGTGGGTTATTCTGTTGTTGTTTTAATTAGGGTTTGTTTGTTTGTTTCTCTCTGAGATGGAATACCTCTGCTGAGTAGTTTTCTGTTGGGTGCGTTCCTTTTATCATTGCTGAGCTGTACTCGTGAACTGAGGCTCTCCCAGCTACTGTCAACATTTAACTGCACCAAATTAAAAAAAAAAAAAAAAGTATTAACCTTGCTCTTTCCACATACACAGTCAAAGTGAGATATCATAACTCTTATGTCCTCTCTTGGCCTCCCTGAACATATACGTTTAATCATGCAACCTGCATTGGCATAGCTGCAATAGAATCCAAAGAAAAAGGAAACTCATTCTCCTCTCCACCTCTGATAACTCGAGGTCAAAAGAGGCTAATCACTTTAGTCTTGCTCCTTTGAGATACAATCTCTGCCCTCCCTCTCCCCTCTGTTCTCTCCGTAACACACAGTGTAAGAAGAGCTGGCACATACACGTAGGCAGGTGTGTAATTAGGTTTCCACATGATGCCGAGAGTCCCCAAAGCAGTGAAAATCAACCCTTCTTAAGTGTCCATCCTCCAAGCATGGAGTCCAATATCATCCCAGGCATGCCAGAGATGACCAGAGGACAAGTCTGTGTACCTACCTCAAGACAAAGAGATCCACGGTGGAATTGCTGGAGATGGTGACGTGGGCAGTGACCACAGCTCCCTGTTTGACTGGCCTGGAAGGCAGCCAGATGGCCACATTGCCATCCAAACGCAACTCACTGAGCTGGGCGCTGTCCTGGGCCCGGTAAAGGCCGATGGTGCCAATCCTCTGCAGGTGGGATGTGGTTTCCTCCAGTCCGTCCTTTCCTGGACGGATGGCATTGCCCTTCCTGAGGTCACCCCCTGCACAGTCTGCTCGCTCATCTCCGGGCTGCACCGTGTAGTACAGCTCCACAGGACTGCCCTCTGGCTGTTCCACTGACTTCTTCCTCCCAGTACCCAGTGTGGGGGCGCTGAACCAGCTGGATGGGAGCTCCAGCTCTGCCACACACAGCCCGAGGTCCCCCTTGAGCCGGCAGCTGCCCCTTACCTCTCTGGTCTCTCGGAAGGCAAAGACCCTCAGGCAGGGCAGCTTCTCCCCGGTGCTGTGGTCATCCCAGTCTCTGCCCATGATGTGGAACAGAATCTGCACTTTGGGCTGGCTCAGGTAGATTTTATCCCGCAGGATATAGGCTTTCAGTTTCCAATCGAAACTAAACTTATTAGCTGGGCCTAAAAAGTTTGAAGTCAACATTAAATCCAGAGGCACAACCTTTTCCACAGAAAAAGGCCCATAGCTAGCATTTAGTATGGGAGGCTGCTTGGCTTTGTATGTGAAGAAGGACTCAACTCTGGACTGCAGGCTGGAGTTTCGCAGCAAGTCCTGGTTGGTTTCCTTTAGGAAGAAGGAAATCTCTGCTCGGAGGATGTGGTAGCTCACAGGTAGATAAGGTGGCAGTGAGGAAAATCTCTGTATGTTGTCTGTGATCCCACGACCCTCTATCACTAAAGGGGAAGAAAGAAAGAAAGAAAGACAAAGACAATTATTAACAAGTTCCTCAGAAGTTGTTAGGTTTGCAAGTGACTTAAAAAGTGAGAGACAGAAATTCTGAAGTCCACTTAGCTAGAATTTTTCTCTCCTGGAATTAGCCAGTAAATAACTACATGATCCAAAAATTACAGACATATTATATTGAAACATACAAAACTGAGAATTTTGTACAGTAGGAATTGTTAAATGGTGTATCTTCATGGAGTTCAACCTAACAGAAAGCTGGCAAATTATCTATGAAACTAAAGTGGGTATTTTTAGTAATAATTTGCCTGAGTTTGAAGTGTATGTAATGGCACTGGTACATAAATAGAAAACAGATCAATGGAATACAATAAAGTTCACAAGTAAACCTAAGAACACACAGAAGTTTAGTAAGTGATAAAGGTGGCATCTCAAATCCTGAGGCAAATATAGACTTTTTAATAAATAGTGCTGAGACAACTGGTTAGCCATTTCAAAAAAAAGATAAAAAATAAATCCATACCTCACGCCACCCGTAAGAATAAATTTCAAATGTATCAGTGATCTAAATGTAAGAAAATCAAATCTTTTAAGGACTAAAGAAAACATGGATGCATTCTCCTATAGTAATCTGGGTACAGGAAGAGCTTTCTAATTATGATTCAAAATCCAAATGCATTTTAAAAAAAAATGATAAATTTGCCTATGTAATTTTAAAAATATTTGCATTACAAGAAATATCATAAACAAAGTCGAAAGAAAAAATAAGCCAGGGAAAAAATATTTGCAATTATGTATCATAGCTAAGGGGCTACTATCCATAATATAGAGAGGTCCTGAAATTGGAGGAAAAAAATTTTAAAAATTGGGAGAAATGGGCAAAGGGTATAAATAGGTAATTCATCAAAAACATATTAAAATTTCCCTTACATATACAAAAATGATTTACCCTCACTCACAATTAGAGAAATACAAATGAGAACTAGAATTAGAGAATACAAACAGATACCATTTTTCATCTATCAGGTTGACAAAAATTACAAAGTATCACAACATACCATTGACAAGACTACAGGCAACAGGCACTCTAGTGTACTGCTGCTGAGAATGGAAAATGGTACAACCCTCCTGAAGGGAATTTGGCAACACCTAAGAAATTACATGTGCATTTTCCTTTGATTCAGTGATTTCACTTCTAGAAATCTACCTTGAAGATACACCTCTGGCAACTTAAAAAATATATATGAACAAGAGCATTCATTGCAGCATTGTTTTTAATTGAAAAATCATTTGACACAACCTACATAGACATACATGGGGAGGTGGTGGAGCAAAGTGCAATGCATCCACAGAAATAAGCGCTGTGAGCTGCAAACAATTAAAAAAAAA